CATCCCATCCAGGTCTTGCACCCGTTGCTTGCTCTCATAGACACAAGCTCCCCCACGAGCCTGAATTGGATGGAGTGGTTAGAAAATGGATGGATGGATTAGGAACAGGAGCACTAGTGAAGTTTATAATCCCTCTGCGCACCTCGCAAAATTAGTACGTCCTGCTCAAAATGTGCTTGGCTACAATGCCAGCGCTGTCGTGTTTCACTTCCCGCCGAATCTGGTGGAAATCTGTTTTGGTGGCAGCAGTCACCAAGCCTGGCCGTGATCCCGAGCCATGTGCCCGCTGCCCGTCCTGTCTCGGTGCTCCTCGCGCCAGACGCAACATCTCAGACGGGGCTTCTCGCCTTCGTGTTTCCTGCCTGTTCTTTGTTTTGTTTTTTTTTTTGCCTCCGATATTTTGGAATATTGTTTTTCCTCTCGCTGACTCCTGCCGTGACCAGATTGGCATCCTTGTTTACCAGTCTGTGACAGAGGAGCCTTTCAGCTGGGCGTGAGCCCTATAAAATCCAACCGGTTTCCGTTCCCCTTCGTCCAGTCCAGTCTTGCAGGGGAGCAGGAGCCTATGCGGGGAGGCACCACACGGAAAGCAGGCTACCCCCTGGGTGAGACGCCAGTCCTTTGCACGGCAGACAGACCTAAACACGCACACACTCATACCAGGGGCAGTCTTCCCAGAAACGAATTAACCCACCAGCAGGTCTTTGGTCTGTGGGAGGAAACTTGCGCGTCAAAAGGGAGAACATGCAAACTGACCTAAATTCAATACCTAAGTCATTTATGATGGATCTGGCCTGTTTCCCACTCCAGTCAGGAAAATAAGATTCAAGGGATGTTTTTTTTTCCTTTTTGTAAGAAGAAAAAGGGTGGAAACTCTCTTAAAGGGGTGCATTTCACTGGCAGGCTGAAGGGACTGAACTGTTTTAGTCTTGAACAGGGGGACCTCATACAGGGGCTCAAAATCGTCTAAATCCTCGAGAAAGTCGAACCAGTAGATATCTTCCAAAGAAACAGTGAGTCACAAGCCAGGGGGCACCAATGGAAACTGTGTGGAGGTGCTTTTAAAACCAAGAAGAGGAAGCACTTTTTTTACACAAAGGGTAGTGGTGGAGTGGAACAAGCTGCCCAGCCATGTTATTGAAGCGGATTACCCTGGCTTCTTTCCAGAAACAGCTGGAGGAGAAACTCAAGTCAGTTAACTACCGAACGAGCTGGATGGGCCCATTCTGTTTTGTGTCCCAGTGTGAGAGCCGAGCCAGTGACTGGTTATCTGTGTCGCTCACAGGCTGTGTCTGTCTTTGGAACGGACTGCTCTTCTCTCCTGCTCTGCTGGGGTGATTCTGTAGAATGGCTGCCCTCCTGTCTTTTTACACCCCCTGATCTGGGACAGCCTGGAGGTCAGAGCAGCTACCTTGCTGCTCCAGGATTGGATCATCCCCAGGTTTATCCCAGGTTTTCCAAAGACGCACTGGAATTGTCCCTCCCACAGGTCGATCCCTGTCTTTGCCCACGAGGACAGGAGCAGGACACCACCCGCCTCCTACCTCTGCTTCCTCTGCCCCAGTAGCAGTGCTGGTGCCCCTCTGACATTCTCCTTCCTGGGTCGACGTTTTCCCCAACGGATCTGCGGGCCCGGACTCTGTGCTAAATCTGCAGACACATCAGTGGTTTGCAGACGCGCCAACATGCAGATATCGGAACCCAGCACTTTTCCTCGTCGGTTCAGAAGCTGACCACGGTCCTGTCTTTAATACACGCTCTCTCTGCGCAGGGCTCTGTGTGTGTGGCAGAGCGGTGTGCAGCCCTGGTGGTCTCACAGCATCGATTACAGCAGTAATTTGCGCCGCCTGTCATTGTGCCACGGTTTTAATTTCTCCGTGCGCTGTGCACGTGTTCCCGAGAGACATTGCTCAGCGGCTGCTTGCCCTCAGCTCGGCTCCCCTGGTTTGTGAGCTTTCTGACATTCTCTGCCAACCAGATCTCCTGCGGCAGCACTTCTCCTCCCTGGTCCTGCAGGAACACCGTCTCCTTTGGGTTTTGTGCTCGATTTCGGTTTCGGTTTGCTTTCGGCTTTTATAAGGTCTGATGGGATTTATCACGCGTGTTAACCCTGTCCCCGTTTCTGAGGTTCTGAGCTGCCCTCAGTCAGGTGTGCTGCCTGCACTGTAGCCCTCTGCACCCCTGCAGTAGGTCACCCTTTCCTTGAGCTGTCACTTGCAGATTGCTTTCTGTCTGACATGAAGGTGGTGAACTTTTATAGTGCGACTGCAAGTTGGCTGTTTGAATAGGTGCAAATGATCTGTAATGTAACTGTACTCCCTTGCTTTGGCTAGTTAAACAGGTGACACTAAGCAAGTTAACAGGAACCCCTACATTTAAAAGGCAGGGGTTGTGTTACTGCGTTTTTGTGCACAGCGAAAATAAATAAATATTGAAAAGGACTGAGCTCAAAACATAATCCTGTGGATCTGCAGGACCAGGAGACAATAGCACTGGATTCCATCCTGTCACTTGTAGCCATTCTGCAATCCCAGGTCACCCCAAGGTCACCGGACTCATCTCGCACTTCAAGATCTCAATCCTGTCCAGAAAAAAGTGATAACTGGCTCTTGTCTTTTTTTTTTCTCCTGCAGACCTATGCCAAGTTCGCAGGGGCTCCCCTCAAAGTCCACAAGATTGCCAACCCCTGGAAGAGCCCCACAGGTGAAATCGGGGACCCCATCCCCATACATGTTTTACTTTCTCTGTGTTTTGGAAGGCTGTTGCTCCCTGTTACTGCAGCCATGAGAGAGAGAGAGAGCATGTGCTGGGTTTGTTTGAGTGGGAGTACGCTGCTTGTTGGAATACAGACATTTTGGAGCTTCTGGATGAGCTGCAGCTGAGGGGAGAGAGAAAGGATGATTGAATGATGGACAGGGGGGAGAGGGGGTC